TGAGTCAGCAGTGAAACCACAACTCACACATCTGATTCTGAAGCCTGTGCCTTGAACCGTGGCACTGTCTCCCTATAAATCAGTGCCAATGATACTGATTTCATTTGTTTATCGTGCACTGGAGAGTCCTCAGTGAGCCACAGAATACAGGCAAACTTGGGCTGGGATCACTGGCTACTCAGGTTGAGCGAGGGGCAGTGGCCAGGCCAGGCCCAGAAGTTTCCATGGGAAGAGACGCCAGTGTCTGTGTGAAGAGGTGAAGTCTCCCCTGGCCTGGGTCCCCTCTGTCGCAGTTACCGATTCTTTGGTGAGGAAAGCTCTTTCTTCCACATGCTCCAACCTCATCCTGTTTTGCAAGTAAAATAAAGTTGAAATAAATGCCAGGGGCCGCTTTGATGGGGGGAAAGCTGGCAGAAAGACAGCTTCAGACAGTGAGGAAGAGGGAAGCGACTGGCCTGGTTTAGCTTGTATTCCCAGAGGTCTGTGGCTTGTACGTGTGTGCTCAGTCACTTTAGTCATGTTCCACTCTTGGTGACCCTGTGGACTGTAGCCTACCAGGCTCCTTTGTCCATGGGATTTCCCAGACCCCTCCTCCAGGGTGTCTTCCTGACCCAGGGATCAAACCCACGTCTCCTGCAACTCTTGCATTGCAGGTGGATTCTTTACCTGCTGAGCCACCGAGGAAGCCCCTGTGGACAACTGGGACCTATAAAGACCTCATCTTCTTAAGGCATCTTGGACAAGTCTCATGTACCCCATTCCTTCTTCGCATCCCCTCCTTACCAGCCACCAGCAAGGGAAAAGTATCCCCGAACATCAGAACAACCTGTCGCTCTTGGTTCTCAGTGGAGAGAGCTACCCCTTCCAGGGCTTGCACCAACTGCAGAAACCACAGCAACCATGCAGCACCCACTGTGTGGATATGGAGTCCTATTGCTTCACCACCCCAGGGCCTCGCCCTCTCAGGTCCGTTTGCATGACCGTGTAAAACCCGCCAAATGGTAGAAAGCAGATCTTAAGGAATGATTACTTGTAGGCAAGGACAATTCTGGACTGAGGCATGACACAAGATAAGGATATCCCAACTCAGTCAAAACCTTGACCTACTCTCAGACTTCCTTGGTGGTCCAGTGGTTAAGGCTTTGAGTTTCCAATGCAGGTGGTGCAGTTTTGATCCCTGGTCTGAGAACTAAGATCCCATATGTTGCGTGGTCCAGCCAGAAAAAGAAAGAAAGGAACCTTGACCCACTGTAGTGTGACATCCAATTCACAGCTGACCTGCATGATGAAAAACGAGATAGTGGGGTAATTTGTGCAGAATTACTCAGATGAGTGTTCAAACCAGAGATGGTTAGAATGATGGATCACTTCAGCAAAGAAAACAAAAGTTGGTTAGATATCTAGAGGTAGGTGCCCTTTCAGACTTCAAGATCAGTTGAAATCCTTCAACAAGACAGCAGTGGAAAAATAACATGACTGCTCGAGACATTTCCCAGTTCCCTTTTTTCCTTGAGGGTATCATGAGCACAGCTATTAGATTCTGGGAGTAGTAATGCCAGCCTTGTACCTGTGAAAAATTCTGTTATTTCCCAAGTGTCTTCCAAGCCACCATCTCATCCGACCCTCTGCCGTCCTGCCTGGTATTCACGCATTCCTATATTCATTCGTTTCACATTTATCATATGCCTGCTCTGGCGGCTGCACCTTGCCAGGCTAGCTGGGCTTGAATATTGATGCTTGTTTCATAAAGGAGCAGACCACGCTGTTAGACGGTTTGTCCCAGATTCCACAGCGAGTTGGGGCCACGCTGGGGGAGGATCAGGACTTCAGAGCCTGTCGGCTCCTCCGTCCCAGCCCCGTTTCTGGCCCTCCTTGACTCGGGCAGCCACGGAAACCAGCATCCCGCTAGTCACCTCATGTGCTTTCTGCTCTTCAGGGAGTAAGACACCACTCTAAGCAGCCCAAATCTTTTTGCTATCGAAGTTGAGCGGCTGATACTAGCACGCCATTGAAGTTAGTAGATTACTTATTGTAAACATGGTATATTCTAAATTGGAATGGAATGTTTATGGCATACATGGATCACTTTTTATTTCTCGCTTTGACTTTTGTGTTAACTAACTAGTGATCCCTCAAGTAGGAAGAGTTCTCTTTAGTTATCATGTTCATTCATTCTGCTGCTGCTATGCTATGGTAGGAGCCCTTGTATCAGGCTTGGTTAGTTACTGAGTTACTTGAAAAGTCATTTACAAGTTCATATCTTAAACATCTTTAACTTAAAACATATAACTTATATTCACACATCGACTTTTTTTAGTACAAGGACATATGTGTTGGTTGATTATAGTTTCCTGAGCCTTTTTCACATTAACCACACCATCATAATTTCCAATTTTTGTTTCTTTAGGGGGAATGAGAAATTATAGATCTTTGCAGAACAAATTTGAGTGTAAACTCCTTCATTTTTAAAGACTCGTTTTCTTTTTTTAACAGATGCCTTGTCCAGTTGAGTAGCTTGTTGATGTCTTTTGTGTTTTGTGGCTCACATTTATTTGGGTCATTGCAAAGCATTCACTTTAGTTTTCTTAGAAACATTTGCCTTTTTTCACACTTACATTTCACAACTTTACACAGACAGACCTTGGGTATATTACAGGTTCAGTTCCAGACCACCGCAATAAAGCACGCTTCACAGTAAAGTGACTCACAAGAGCTTTTTGGTTTCCCAGTGCATATGAAGTTGTGTTTACACCATAACGCAGTCTGTTAAGTGTGATAGCATGTCTAAAAAACAATGAAGATACCTTAAAAATACTTTATTGCCAAGAAAATGCTGACATTATCTGACATTGCAGGGTTGCCACAAACCTTCAATTTATAGAAAACCCAGTGTGTTCAAAGCAGTGTAAACTCAAGCAAGAAAATAAGGTATGCTTGTATTTAATTAGATTTCATGAATTCAACTAGTTAAAAACAGACCTGAGAACTTGGTAACTGGTGGCAGCAGAAAGACATCAGCATACTGGAGAGTAGACCCCTAGCTTAGGGTGTGCTGGATTATGAGAACATGTTTCTTAATTGTTATTTCATGTTGGAGTTCAGCTTTATTTACACTGCTGTGTAGTTTCAGGCGGACCACAGAGTGACTCAGTTACACGTGTGCCCACTCTTTTTCAGATTCCCCTGCAGGGCATTGCAGAACATGAGCAGGGCTCCCTGCGCTCTGCTGCAGGCCTTCGCACGGCAGTGCCAAGGCCCCGGTCATGCCCTCCCTCACCGTCCCTTTTGCTAACTGTTTTCTGTGAGTCCGCTCCTATTTTGTAAACAGGTTCATTTGTATCCTTTTTTTTTTTTAAGATTCCTCATATAAGTGGTATCATATGTCTTTCTCTGACTTGCTTATTATGATTATCTCTAGGTCCATCCATGTTGCTGCAAATAACATTATTTCATCTTTTTGAATGGCTGAGTAATATGCCATTGTATATATGTACCACTTTTCTTTATCCATTCCTCTGTTGATGGACATTTAGTCTGCTCCCATGTTTTGGTTATTGTAAACAGCACTGCAATGAACATTGGGCTGCATTATCCTTTTCAACTATAGTTTTCTCTGGATATATGCCCAGGAGTGGGGTTGCTGGATCATGTCTGTATGTTTTAGAGGGAATGGAGAACGTGGGTCAATCTGGCTACTTGGTGAATGGAATACTAGCTGGCCTTGCCCAAGTTGCTTGGGGAATTAATAAATAAATCCCCACCACCACCCATCTAGGGGCACACGCAACACCGCTACCCACGGGAAAAACAGTGTGAGTTATAAATCCTCAATTGTGACTTCCAATTTGTGGCTCATATATTTGAAATCTGTTTTCATTGAAATCCCTGTAATGGGCCACGGGGCCTGTCTCAGCATCTCTGAAGGTTCCCTTTGTGGATGGAAGCCTCCTGCGATTCCCTGGATGCTGTTGGTTCTTCAGTCAGACCATCCAAAATATGCCTTCCATATTGGAGGAAATTTCTTTGTGGAAAGTAATGACAAAAACAGTTTTACTTGTGTAAATTTTTATTAAGCTTTGTCATAACAGAGAAGGAACAAAAAAGATGAAGTTAATAGTGAGGCACTCTTCTGCTGTTCACCTTCGCTGGTCAGACTAAAAGATTCTGCTTGCGTTGTTGATGGTTGGGGCTTTTCTGCTTCTGCTTGGTTTCTGGCACTGATTTCCACCCGGGTCATTTCTAGCGCAATCAGTCTTTAAAATAGGAGAATAAGAGGCAGTAGGCGTCCTAACATTCATTGAACTTTCTATTTGGTTTTCAAAAGCCGCACTAATTAAAGACTGACTAAATCCAGTCACCCACAGAAGGTCATGATAGAACACCCTGGGGACAAAACAACCCCCCACCTCAGGGTTCAGAAGGAACAGTGATTTGTAGGATTGTTTCTGTTTGATTTTTTTTTTCCTTTTCATGTTAGTCTTATGACTCTTGTTGTAGGAGTTAAAAAAAAAGTTAAGGAAGTTAATTTCTGCTGGATACCGAGCCCGCGTGGCCCCAGGGCCCTCCAGGGCTGAGCTCAGGAGCCTCTCGGGGAGGTAAACATGCGAGTCCGCAGGGTCCGGTCAGGCGGCAGCCTCCCCTCCAGCCTCTGCGTCTTTCCTGGCGCACGGACCGCTGCTGCGCCCTCGGCTTTTCTTGTGATGCATCCGTCACGCGCGCTGCTGCGCCCTCGGCTTTTCTTGTGATGCATCCGTCACGCGCGCGCGCCCCCGTCGGCAACACCTGAACCCATCTGTGGGTCTGCGATCCTGCCCGCGTGTCACCCATGCGGCCAGCGACGACGCCTGAGGTGTCTCGCCTCTCGGTCCGGCCGGGTGAGGTGACGAAGCGCGTCAGGAGCCGGGGGTGGGTCCACCGGGGCCCCATCCCTCACAAGGCCGGCTTCCCGCCCAGATCCCTGACTCACTCTGCGCTTCCCTCTTCCTCTCCCCTGCAGGCAGTGTGACTGGAAACAGTAACTCCACGTTTATTTCCAGCGGGCAGGTGATGAACTTCAAGGGCGACATCATCGTGGTCTACGTCAGTCAGAACTCGCAGGAGGGCCCGGCGGCGCCAGGCGGCGGCGCGGGCGAGCCAGCGGGCCACCCGGTGCAGGAGGAGAGCCCTCCGCGCCGCGACTCGTTCGCCGGCCTGGGGCCGCGCTTCCCGGACGCGTGCACTGGCCTCGACGTGGGCCCAGGACTGCAGGAGCACGGCGCCCCGGCTGCAGACAAGGCCTCGCGGCCGGTGCAGGAGCAAGGGGCGGCCGAGACGCGGCGGTGAGCGGCGAACACCCGCCGCAGCTCACGGCGCCGCTCGGAACCGCGGGGCCTCCACACGCGGGCCGCGCACGTCGGGAGCCGGAGGCGTGGCGCGGCGTGGCGGGGGGCGCGGTCTCGGGCTTGGTCCCGGGGGGGCGGGGCCGTGGGCCAGGGTCTGCGCCTTCACGCTCCTGCATTCGGTACAGCTGCGTGAAATGGCCGGGCGTCCCTCGTCCACCTTGCTTAAATGGAGTCGAGGACTTTCTGGGGAAAAAATGTACGTTACTACTACTCTGCCGTCCACAGTCAAGTGTCAGCGCATTGCACAGGTACACGTTGCTGTCAGTCGCTCCGCTTTTTACCTCCTTTTATAGTTTTTCTTCTCCTTTAACCTCGCATTATCAGCGTATCAGTAGTTTGCCTCTTCATGGCATCTGTTTCTATGGCTGTCCCGTTCCATTCGGGTCTGTGTCCTGCCCCCCCACCACCCTTTCTCCATATTTGATATTTGTATTTCACTGTCTTTCATAAAGTTTTTCTTGATACTGTCTCCTCACCCCACCCTACCACACCCCACCCGTTTCTTTCTTTTTACTATTTAACGATTTTCTTGAAAATTCTCCTACGGGTGACGGGCTTTATATTTCTTTGACCCCTTCTCACAAGTAGGTGCCTGTGTGTAGTGACGGAGGGGGAGGGGGCGAGGAGTCTGTACTAAGCACTTTTGGGAAAAGACTAGGAATGTGAAACCTGGCGGGAAGCTTGGGGACCAAGAGGAGAGAATTTGAGCTTTTGAAAACTTTTCTGAGTTCTCAATTTTCTAAAGGAAAGGAAAATCTCCCTAAATATTTTTAAGTGTGTGTCAACTTTGAGGCAGCCCAAAGCTGCAATTTGTGTCTGACTCCTTTAATCCATCTCAAAATGGTTCATCCCCATCCCCATCCATATGCCAAGATGAATGTGCATACCGATCCCAGCAGAGGCAGCAAAACTTGGGTAACTAAATCTCTAAAACTCCAGCTTGATGCACTTGGCATTCTCATTCTTAAGAATGAGAAAAACGTGTGGAAGATGAGTAGGCTTTGGGATGGCCTCAGTGAAAAAAAAAGGTGCTGCAAAAGTTCAAGAAAGGAAGAATAAAGATGTTAATGTGCATTTTTTCTTTCTAAACAAGAATAGCATAAATGTGTTTAGGCAATAGGCCCCATTTGCTTCCTAAATGTGTGTCTGTAGTTTATCCTTGTAGAAGTGGAAAACTTTCCTGTTATTTTCCATGCATCTGAATTAAAAACCAAATCCTCATATTGTGAACTTAAGAGAATTTATCATAGAGATGCTTTCTCTCAGGATCAGTGCTCTTGTGAGGAAAGATACAGTGTGAGTAGGTTGGAAGGAGTTACCTGGGGTGTTTCATCTATTGTGGCCAGTTAGCATTTGTTTTCCTCAAATACTAAAGTTACAATGCCTCCTGCTGCTGCTGCTAAGTCGCTTCAGTCGTGTCTGACTCTGTGCGACCCCAGAGACGGCAGCCCACCAGGCTCCCCCATCCCTGGGATTCTCCAGGCAAGAACACTGGAGTGGGTTGCCATTTCCTTCTCCATTGCAGGAAAGTGAAACATGAAAGTGAAGTTGCTCAGTCGTATCCGACTCTTCGAGACCCCGTAGACTGCAGCCTACCAGGCTCCTCCGTCCATGGGATTTTCCAGGCAAGAGTACTGGAGTAGGGTGCCATTGCCTTCTCCGTACAATGCCTGAGCATATTAAAATTGATTTTGTGGATCTGGTAGGTTTTGAAAGCGCTAATAGTAGTCACTGTCCAGACTTGAATGACCTCAAATGCCCAGCTGAAGGGAATGACCATTGATCAGGGGTTTCTCCCTATTGATTGCAGGTCTGTTGGAGATGCTAGAATAGTAGCTGTCAATTATGATTTTTAACGGAGAAGCAGAGGTGGCTCTATAATTTCTGTGGCTCCTTAGCAGGCATGAGAAATGGCAGAAAATAAGCTTATTGCCGGAATGATCCATTGGTGAGAATTTACTGTCTGCACTGCCTTTTCTCATCCATCCAAAGAGAGATGTTATAAAAATGGAAGTAACTATTATACCTTTTGTTATATTGTAGTTCACTGAGGAGAAGGCAGAGCTAAAGACCCAAGTTTCTCCTGTGACTGTCACCATCTCACTGATACTTTACCTTTCTCTGTTTTTTTTTTTTTTTTAATTTTTCCTACAGAAAGGCACTAATGGTAATTTTTGACACTTTCCCTACTTGGAAATAACAAAAGAATGCTACAGTGAATGTTAAAGTATCTTGAGCTCCTTAAATAAAAGGTGCTAAATAAACACATAAGAATCTACTTTCAAAAAAAAAAAAAAGGAATCTACTTTCAGGAAAAGGTAGTATTCTTTCCCACGCTGATCCCTGCTAATTCTATATTGATCCAAAGACAAGTAAATGATAGGAAATGGATAGCAAATATAGCTCTGTGTCTGCGTATTATAGAGTTGTGTATGACAGATGTAAACAGGATGAAATGAAGACAGTAATGAAAAACTGGGGAATGTGATAAAGAGATTATTAAACTTATATTTGACAACAAACTTTTTCCTTGGTTTGTTTAAGCAAATCTTTCTGTGAAATAATGACCTGACTTCTTTCTGATCTGTGTGGTGTGCTGTGGTATTAAATGTTGGTTATATTGTGTCGTTGGTGGAAACCTTGGCAAGAGCTGGGACATAAAGTGCCTTGTTTTAATAATAAAGTATGGGTTGGCTATGCAGTGGAGGAGCTGAAAGGGAAATGGAGTCTAGTGTTTTCTACCCACACCTAGTTCAACTCTCAGAAAGAATTAATTTCTTCGCTCCCCTTATAAGGAAAGGAACAGTTTGAGTGTGAGGTATTGGAGCCTTCGTAGGGCAGGAGGAGAGAGGGCCCTGCATGTGTCACAAGGTACCCCAAAACCCCATGCTTTGGAACAACCACCACTGACTTAGCTCCCACCCCTGTGGGTTGGCTCAACTTGGTTGGTTCATTAGGCCTGGGTGAGCCTGGCTGGACTTGTTGACCCGCGTGCAGATTGCCGGCTGGTTGGCTGGGGGTCGGCCGCCTGGATGCTGGACTGAACCCTCTCCCTGTGGTCCCCTCACTCTCCCAGCAGGCTGCCCTGGCCTGCTTGTCCTGGTGGTGGCTGGGTTCCCAGAGAGCAAGCAAAACCGTCCCATGCTTTTTGAGACTAAGCTTGAACCGGCAGGCTGGCACTGCTGCCTCATTCTTTGAGCAGAGCAAGACACAGGACCGCTCAGGTTGAAGCGGAGGGGATGCAGAGCTGCAGGGAACCCTGAGGGGTTGGTAGACGGCGAATGGGGCGTGGGGCCCTTTTGCCATCTCTCTGCTGCGGGCACATGGTTGGTTATCAGATGGTGTGGGGAGGGTGCATCAGGATCAGGGGAGAAGCATTTCCCATCCCTGATCAGGGCTTCCTTCTGAGCAAGTTCCCTTGCTGCAGAGTGCAGTGAATTCCTGCAAATGAGAGACTTGCATTCATGTTTCAGCACTGAAATTCCTTCCAAAGCCAGATACCCATGATGACCGTACTGAGTCTACAGTACAGTACTGTTGCATTCCATTGGCACAGATTGTGGAAAAGTGATAATTTATAGAATCAAGGAAATTGGTGAGATCCTTTGGGTAGAGGAACCTGTTCCATAAACAGATGAACGACGTTGTGTTCACCATATAGGCGATTTAATGAACAGTCTTGATGGCGAGGTACTGGGCAAAAGGGTGAACCTGAGCCCAAGTGCTGGCTCTGGTGGAAGAGATATAATTTTGAAGTTTTTTCTCTTTGACAGTCTCTGAAGGCACGTGACTCCCTTTGGCCATCTGCTTTGAGGGGCTCAGGGTATGAGCTGCATAACGTCCTTTTGTGAGAAAGGATAAATCATTCAAAGGCCCAAACATTTGGTTGGTGAGTCTGAATCATTTTTATTCAGTGTGTTTTCGATGTTTGGGCCACGAGCATCCCTGAAAAAGAGGATGAGGATAACTAGAGAGTTCCAGGGGTGTTCTAGCTTGCTGGGGAGGACTGTGAACATTGTTCTGCTGCAGTGCTGGGGAGGGGTTGTCTGTGCAATTTCTGACTCCCCAGGGCTATGCTGGTGAACAGACTACCTTGCACCTACTACAGCCTTGCCGAAAATAGATGGGGGCCTGGAATTGGGCCATGGTGGCGCCAGCAGGGGGCACAGGCATGTCAGGTGGTATCACTGGAAGGTATCAACAAAGGTACAGGGCGCACAGAGGCTGGAAACCCTGGACCAGCGCTTCCTGGTGGCCCCTGAGGAGGAGCTGCCTCCGTTGGTAGAACAGCCCCATGTGGCCCAGGGTTTGAAGTTAATAAATTTTCAAGCGTGAAGGGACCCCTCAGTGATTGATGTGGCCCTCTATGACTCACGGCACCATGGTTTCTTGTGGCTCTTGCGAGTCTGACTTTATGTCTGTCTGTCTGTCTGTCTGTCCATGTTACTACTCCAGCTATCTTGACCCCAGGGTGAGGTTGAAACTCACGCTTAGCCAGTATCTCTTCCCCCCATTACCTTAGTATTAATAAAACTAGCGTGTACAAACACTTTCCAAAAATTCTCCATTGAAGAATAGTATGTCTAACAGCATAAAAGTTAAAATGCCAAATTCCAGGTCTGATCTGCTAACTTCATTCTACCAGGAGAGGCTGATGAAGTTACCCTTTTCCCGGATCTGATGGAACAAGAGAAGGTTTGCAATCAGACCTGGCATCAAAACTCAGCCCCACCACCAACTTACTTACCTTGTGCAGTCACTTCATTTCTGAGCCTTATTTCCACCCGGGTAAACGGAAAGTACTGTTAGTTTCTAGGGCTGGTGTGAGGGTGAAAAGGGGTGAGGAGCTTCCGAGCACCAGCGGAGCTCCTGAAAGTTCCCAGCAGTGGAGACCCAACTTGTCACTCTCCACTCTCCCTCTTACTGGACACAGAAGTGATCTCAGACATCATGTTTTCTTCCTGTCGTATAGACCACATAGCACTAAAGCTACCTCTGCCACCTCCCTCAGACAGCTCCCTGCTCTCTGAAGCTAGCTCTGAGGGAGGTGCCTTCTCCACAGCCAGCTGACAAGACTGTGGCTGATCCAAGTTCCCGTTGTCTGACATCGCTCACCGAGGAGCGTGGGCTTGTGCCAGCTAGTCCCCAGACACCCTCACCGCCTTCCTGGGGCCGCACAGTTAGAACGGGCCCCGGCGGGTCCTTCATCGCGCTGACACTTGGGTGCGGTGAAGGACACTGGAATGTGTGGGTTGGAATGCCACGTTTGTCTTTCTCCTAGAGTCCTGGATTTCTCTCCCAGCGTGGGGAGGACAATAAATTGGCCGCCAGCACAGAAGAAGTTGTGGTGTAGGTCCAAATCCCTTTGGGCAGGAACTGGAGCCCTGCGAAAGCTTTCACTGTGACCAAGGTGCTTGATTTCTCACGAGAAGATGTAACCCTGGAAACAAGGCTACACAGACTGTAGAGTCACGAGAAAAACTGCATTCTTATGATGAGACTCCTATGTGTTACCTTAGTCTAGGCAGAGGCAGTAAATCATCCTACCGAAATGGAAAAGCAAGTTCATTTTTATTGGCTTTTATGGCCTCTCTATTTCAATGGCAAAGAAACCATGAAGAAAAGATGCATATTTAAAGCTCTTAGAACTTTTCAAAAATACTTACTCTATCATGGGAAAAAAGCAAGTTTTTGTTTACATCAGGTTTATGGAGTTTGTAATTTATATCCACTACAATTCACTCTTTTCAGGTGTATAGTTTTGTGAGTTTTGACAAAACTGTGCAGTTGTGTGGCCAGCACTGCAGTCAGGGTGTAGTCTGTGTTTCGTGCCCCTCACTGTTCCCATTTCTCTTTGTGGTCAGTTTCCTCCTCACTTCCCTTCATATTCCCGGAAATCACCATCTGTCTCTGTGTCTGTGGTGTTGCCTTTTACAGAATGTCATCCAAATGGAATCGTGCAGCTGAGTTTATCTTCCTTCAGCATGATACCCTTGGGAGCATTTAAGTTATTGGGTACATTGGTGGTTCATTTTTTATTGCTGACTAGTATTCCATTGTGTGGATGTACCACCATTATTCACCTACACTTGTATTTTTTCCAGCTTAGGGCAATTACAGATAAAGCTGCTATAATAATTTGAGTGGACATGTGTTTTCATTTCTCTTGGGTGAATACCCAGGTGTGGAATTGTGGGATCATAGTGACAGTGAAAGTCGCTCAGTCGTGTCTGACTCTTTGCGACCTCATGGCCTATACAGTCCATGGAATTCTCCAGGCCAGCATACTGGAGTGGGTAGCCTTTCCCTTCTGGGGATCTTCCCAACCCAGGGATTGAACCCAGGTCTCCTGCACTGCAGGCAGATTCTTTACCAGCTGCGCCACCAGGGAAGCCCAAGAATACTGGAGCAGGTAGCCTGTCCCTTCTCCAGCGGATCTTCCCGACCCAGGAACTGAACTGGGGTCTCCTACATCGCAGGTGGATTGTTTACCAGCTGAGCTATCAGGGAAGCCCGTGGGATCATGTGGCAAATATATATATTTAACACTGTAAGAAACTGGAATTGTTTTCTGAAGTGCCAGTACCACTTTGCATCCCCAGTCGCTCCACATCCTCACCAGCACTCGGTAGTGTCAGTTGTTTGTTTATTTTAGTTTTAGCCATTCTAAAAGATGTCATTGTGGCTTTAATTTAATTGACATTTGCAGCCCCTGACTGAGCATCATTTCATATGCTTATTTGGCTGTCTTAACCTCTTCTTTGGTGAAGTGTGCGTTCATATTTTTTGCCTATTTTTTAATCAGTTTGTTTATTTTCTCATTGTGTTTTGCAAATTATATATTCTGGATATGAGAATATATAGGTTTTTATGCCTTTTATTTCAGTGACAAAGAAACCATGGAAAAACACATATTTAAAGCTTTTAGAGCATTCTTTATTTACTATTAATGGGAAAAAAAGATCAGAAATTTTCATTTTATTATAAAATCAAGTGTCAGGGAATGTAAACCAGTAGCATTTATTCAGAGTAAATATGTCTCCAATAGGACCTCTTTCCACAGCGGGACTCCAGGTGGAAGGGCCCCGAGCTGCCGCTTGCGCTGTGGGCTGCTCTGGCCTCTGGGACGTTGTGGAATGCTGCCGTCTGGCTTCTAGAGAACACGTTCACCCATGAAAACTGTGAGTCTTGTGTTTTACTTGTTGGCATACATGTCTTTATGTGGTTAGAAACATGGAATGTTTTCTATCAATGTTTTCTGTTTTCATTACTTTATGTATTAATAATACTATTAGGCTTCTCAGGTGGCTCAGTGGTGGAGAATCCACCTGCAGTGCAGGAGACACCCAAGACGCGGGTTCAATCCCCCTGGAGAAGGAAATGGCAACTCACCCCAGTATTCTTGCCTGGAAAATCCCATGGCCAAAGAAGCCTGGTGGGCTCCAATCTGTGGGTTCGCAAAAGAGTCATACATGACTTAGTGACTAAACAACAACAAAAATAATATTATAATAAAGAGGTGCTGGGAGAGGGAAACCATGAAAACAGACTGCAAATGCCACGCTCGCCAGTGTCTGGAAACGGGGAGCTGGTAGCCTTGAGGTAGATTTTGTTATCATGGTAGTGGTTGTTCAGTCACACGAAGGTAAAGCCAATTGGTGTCTGTTGGCTGGAGATTCGTTATAATGGGATCCTTCATGCCCTGACAGAATCACTCCGCGGTTGCCCTTGGTCTGCAGAGCCGGTGGGGTGGGGGGGGACAGGGCAGGCTGGGCTGCATGGAGGCGCAGCAGCCTCCTGAGACTTTCTGCCCTCAGGAGCTTCGGGAAGGATTGGGGGCATCCATGAGAGGTCCAGTGGGAGAAAGGCGCCAAGGGTTCCCAGTTGGGCTGGTGCTGAAGAGCTGCCGCTGACAGGTGGATGCTTCCAAGGCCGGCCGCTTCCACCTCACCTCTGGGGACAGTGACTGAGTGTGAGCCAGGTAAGTGCAGCATTACTCCTGGAGGCTCCCCTCCCTGCTGCAGCACACAAGTGTCTGCTGTAAATAGATCCGCCGTGCCTGCCTCCGGGGAGGAGCAACAGCAGTGACCACTGCCAGTCCTTTTATAGGAAGACAAGAGTGTGGGTTGGACTCAAGGGGAAGAGAGAGCCTCACCTCCCATGGGCTGTAAATGACACTTGGGCAAGTAACTACTACTTGTTGAAAGTGAAAGTGAAAGTGTCAGTTGCTCAGTCGTGTCCAGCTCTTTGCGACTCCATGGACTGTGGCCCGCCAGGCTGCTCTGTCCATGGGGCTTCTTCCCCACCCAGGGATTGAACCTGGACCTCCTGTATTGCAGGCAGATTCTTTACCCTCTGAGCCACCTGGGAACTGTTTGTTGAAGCAGCCTGCAAAACTCTTCACATATGTGTTATCCCATTTAATCATCACAGCAAATACGTCAAGAGACATTTGTTACCTTTACAGAAGAGAGAATAGGGTCAGTGGGGTTAATGAACTTCACAAGCTCACAAAGCTAGTATGTGGGTTTTGCACCTAAGTCCCAAGGTTTGCATGCCTCCCCACTGTTACAGTGACTTTTTGGATGGTGGTCATGATTGTATCTACTATGTTTTGCTTCCACTAAAGTATCATGAAGTATTCTATTTAGGGCTATAGAAAAGTAGTGTACACTAGAGTTGAACTGATGTGGGTAGAATAAATCAATGATGGAAATTTTTTTTAAGCCCCAGACCCTCTTAAAATCAAACTTAGAATCTCCCAGATTCAGTAGTGAGCCCTAAAACTTCGCATTAGACACTTTATATCCTAAGCATACAATCTGTTTGCCCTCTGTCCCCAAAGAGATTCCGTTCTCTGAATTAAGATGATGCTGGTTATCCTTTCTTGGCACCTAGAGCAAGAGTAGATTCACATACAATGACAGAAGGATGAGCACGCACACTCGTCTCCTGGACACTGGTCTGCACTTGCCTCTGCTGGGTGAAGGCTGCAGGGTTCTAGGCTTCTGTCCATGACTGTGTATTCATTAGAGCGTTTATGGTAAATAACAAAACAGCCTCCACAGTGTGGTTGAGAGATCTTCAAAGCTGAGCAAATACAATCTCAGCAGTTACCTGACACTTCATATCTGGGCATCCGTGGATGGTGTGGATGGTGAGCAGGTGTCCGTGGCATGGAGGGCATCTTCCAGGAGGGACGGCAGTGGCCACTATTCTCCAGGAGCAGTTCGGTCAGTCGCCGGCCCTACCCACCTAAAAAGTCTGTCCTCTCGGACAGAACAAAGCAGCTACAACAGAACATCCGGACTAGTGATTTGAAAGAGGACCTGCCCACCTTCCCCACACTGGTTTGCATCGAGTGTTAATGAAAGCTTATTCAACATCAGCATTATAGTTAGGAAATCACAAAATGATTGATTTTTAAGTCAGTTTTATTGAGTCAGTATAATTTAGTACAAGCCATAAAATTCACCTTTTCTAGGATTACAGTTCTATGCATTCTGACAAGTGTATGTGGTTATGGCTTTCCAGGTGGCATTTTTGCTGCTGCTGCTAAGTTGCTTCAGTCATGTCCGACTCTGTGACCCCATAGACGGCAGCCCACCAGGCTCCGCGGTCCCTGGGATTCTCCAGGCAAGAATGCTGGAGTGGGCTGCCATTTCCTTGTCCAGTGCATGATAGTGAAAAGTGGGGCAGGCATCTGGTAAGTGAGGACTAGTTCGGGGTTGTTGTAGGGGGTGGGGGAGTTACTGGGGCTGCCGAGACATGGGTTTGAGCCGGTGGGTTAGGGTATGAAGTAAAAGAAGTATCCGTGGAGTTTTGCAAGCCTGGCCCAGGGGAGCGGGCACAGGACGGCTTGGCCAGGGCAGCAGGTGGGGCGTGAAGGGCAGCGAGGCAGGGCCCCGGAGGGGTCAGTGCGGCTCCTCCAGCCTGGTAGGCAGCACAGGGACGGTGGCGGCCAGCCTGAGAGAGGTGCAGGGAGACACCGGTGCGACCCGCCGGCCCCGGAGGAGGAGGAAGAGCAGCAGTCCGCGTGGACAGGGTGGCGAGGCTGCGTGCAGATGCGCAGTGCCCGCAGCCGGACAAGGCGCGGGGCACGCCTGCCCCAGAGGGGCAGGGAGGATGCCGGCCAGCGTCCTCTGGGTCCAGGGTGGAAAGCAAGCGGGAAAGGCAACCAGCACAGCTGCTGGCCTGAGACTGGCTCC